ATCTCCAGGAAAGAGTTCCATTACCAAAGCCATGATGCATTAACTATACCAAGTTATTAGCCCAAAATTCAGATGTCATCGACATAAAAATTAAACACGCTCAAGGTAATAACCTGAAACAACTTTCCAAAAGAAAAAACTCCCAACAGTAACTATGGCACGGGCAATAAAAGGAACAAAAATTGTCAAGAATGTCATCGATAGCGACGGAGTGAAAGCATCTGGTTCCTCTTCCAGGTAGCCCTTCTTGAGGGGCGTGCTTTGTGGTTCAAGTGCCCCTTTCCACGGAGACCTCTGTACTTCTTTCCAGCTGAGGTGAGGCCACGAAGCTCCCGGTGCTTGTGGACTGGATTGCAGATCCAGTTGATCCTTGGATCATTTCGGATTGCATTATGAGCCGGATCAACCAATATAACCTCGAAGTACTTGTAAGTCGAATCCTGCAGGGATAAACAGTTACCAAATGACTTCCAAGAATATGAAGATAGACATGTCACTAAGAATTTCAATAAACTTCGATTGACAGGCAGAAGCGAACAGTATATAGCAACTCCTTGCTTAAATATATGTTGATTATACTATATTCTTATTTGGTTTAATTATTGTTAAATTGATGTTGGTTTCTGGGTCAGTGGATAAGTGAGCCGATGTGAACACTAAATCCTTTAAACATATAAGTAGTACTTCCAAAAAATCAATCAATAAAGTCACATAATCAACAAGACAAGGTCATCCAGCCTTTATTGAAAAGCCTACTTATTGCCACTCGAATACTAAAAGCATATATAATAGTCAGTCTAAAATAAAACAATAGCAATAGAAAAATAAAGAATAGACTTCAAAATTTTTTGATGCGAACCTCGTTGATCCAGTACGAATTCAGAACCTTGAGACCACCCAATTTCCTTCCAGCACGCTCCTCTGCGACTGAGCGCTTGCTGCGTTGGAATTTTAGTTGAGTGACACCCTGGTTTGTGGGCTTACCATACACAATACCCTTGGGAACTGGCCTCTTCCTTCCACCACGCCTCACACGTACACGGTAGATCACAAACCCCTGAAGGTAGCATTCAATCACTAAGCTTGAAACCACCAAAACATGGTAAACATGAACGCCATTAAACATTGAGAAACATGAACAATACACCGGGCAAACAAAGATTTAATAGTTTCATCCCTTTGACATGGATGAGAAAAGCATTTATCTGTATATATTCGCTTGCATAAAACAAATTAATTCTCCTTAGCAAAAAAAAAATATATAATATACATATAATTCTGAATAAAACAGAAAAATGAGACCATGGGCTGCAATGCACTTGTCTTCAATTGTGAAGGCTTAAGTAGGTTCAGTGGCATATAACAAAATCTATGTAGTTGAATCATAGATGACATCATGACACCGTGAAACTATAATCCAATAAAATCAATTGAACTAAAACAAATTTTACCATTAAAATTATTAGTATTTATTAAGAGTAAAAATCTAAAGCAAGGTCTCATAGCTACAGTTATTCAGAGTAACATAAGCCCCCAATTTTTTTTTATCTTTTAAATCGAGCCCCAAATGGTACAGGCTAACAAAACAACACAGCAATAATCAAATTTATTATTTAAGTACAACAAGAAGACACAAAATGAGAATAAACTCCTAAAACAAAATCATTGTTCAAAATCCAGATAAAACAATAAATTAACAAATCCAGCCTTTTTTTGGTACAGACATAAACAAAAAGAAACATCAACTGTACTGAGAAATAAAGAGCTACAGATCAAAGACGCACCTGCTTGGCCTTGTAGCCAAGTCGGCGAGCCTTGTCGGGTCGGGTAGGCCTGGTGACACGTACAACTGCGGGAAGCTGACGGTACTCCCAGCAGCGGACCCTAAGCAAGAACCTCATCAAATCCGATTGCTTCTTCTTGTACAGCTCCGATATATAAGTATACGCCCCTGCGAATTCATGCAATCAATCAAATAATTTCCTTAGAAACTGCATATGCAAAATACATAAATGATCAATGATTCCGTGAATTCATTACCCATTGTTGTGGGTGGTGTGCCTGAGACTCTCTCCGCTTCGGCTGAAATGAGGGCTATACCAGAGACCGAGAACGGATTAGGGTTTCAGTGACTATGTTTATAGGATGTGAAGGAATTGGGCCGGGCCTTGATAGCCTCATCTTGTGGTTAAAATTCCGGGGAATTCTACAAATAGCACTAATTTGGACAAAAACTTTTGTGGCACTCTTATCGTCTAGTTCAATTTTATCTTTATCGTTTATTTATTTTTAAACTTGGATTCTGCTTTGAAGACAAAATGATTAGAGAATATATTATGCTAGTAGTGTTGTTTCCCTTCGAGTGGCCTAAACCTTGTCAAAAGGTGGTTAGGAATATTTCTTCGACAATCACTCTGAATGAGAACTGGTTGTTAGTAAATTAAAGTACTCTGACATAATTACACCTAATTGATATTCAATGACTTGATTGAAGTATGATAAAGTTTAGTGACCTCTAGTATAATTTTAGATGAGCTTGAGAGAAATTAGCAAATACATTGATATGCGGTTAGTTTTGATAGATACACCAGTAGTATCAGTGATTAAATCCAAACCGAGTGACCTAATTGTTGATAAATTAAAATATAGTGATCCAATTGCACCAAATTAAAATTCAGCAATCAAATTATGAGTATGGTGAAAACTCATTGGCCTTTTGTTCAATTTACCCTTTACTGTATCTGTTGATCTCGCATATTGGATCCTCCACGTGGCCAACCGATAGCTATTCCAAGTATTCCTCCCTGCGCACAGTCAACGCACAGTCAGATGTACATGGTCGGAATCAGCGGGGGTGGTGGCGACTGCATACACTCCGACGGTCAAGTTAGCCTCAGGTGATCGGAACAATACTAAGGTTGTGCGAAATAGTGGGGAGGAAAATATATAGTGCTTGTTATGGAAAGCTATGTTGTAAGAGTTTCATTGTCTTTGCCTCTTGTCAAACCTTAGGCATTTATAGGTGAGGAGAACCGTTCGATATGGGACATGTGTATGCATCTAACGGTGTGAGGCGTCAGTCAGCCGCGTCTATAGAGTGGGCGGGTAATTACTTCTCCCGAATTGAGTTAACATAAAGTTGATACGTCACATCAACTAGGCTCATGGAAATGTTAAATTAATTGAATCTTGGGGGCAAAAAGGATCTTGACATAGATCTCTTTCTAAAATTGGCGACGGATCATCTGACAGAGAACCTCGAAATGTATTGCGTCTCTACTTCAGGGGCGAGGACGCTTTGGTCGGTTCAGTAGATAGTCTGTGTCTCGCAGTGCGTTAGCAGACTGACATTGGTGGTGGCGTCACTTTGGAACAACTTCGGATGGGTGTTGAACACTCCGTATAATGCGATGGTAGACTTTTCGAAGTGGTTCGGATAGAGGCGTAACAGTGGTCCCCCGAGTTCAGGCATGAATATTTATATCATGGGTGGATTTGTTTTTCCGATCGGGTATGTTCGCCTCGGGATAGGGACCGTGATTTGTGAGAACTTGTGGGTCGGTTTTCTGTGTTCATCGAAGCGTTGACCTTAGGCAGACGCGCTAAAGGTTCATTACTGCGTAAGGAAAGGATTTATCCGAGAACGATGTGCTGCCAACTGGACGATGCGTTGGGAGACTGCCGAAACTTTGTAAAGCTTAGGAAGGAATGCAGCTACCGAGGTGATGACCCACAGGGGACTCCGTATCAGGTGCATCTAAGCTTTCTAAAGCTATATGAGGAGCTCATCTACCACCGGTGCGTTGACCCACAAGAGACGATGGCTAAAGTTTTGTAAAGCTTAGGAGGAAACGCAGCTACTGAGGCGATGACCCACAGAAGACTCCGCGTCAGATGCGTCTAAACTTTGTAAAGTTGAGTGATGAGCTCATTTGCAACCGGTGCATTGATCCACAGGGGACGGCGCATTGGGAGATGACTAAAGCTTTGTAGAGCTTAGGAGGAAATGCAGCTACCGAGGCAATGACCCACATGGGACTCTGCGTCAGGTGCGTCTAAACTTTGTAAAGTTGAGT